TGTATTGTAATTGTACTGTCTCCCTTATATTGTAAAGCACTGAGCAAACTGTTGGCGCTATATAAATCCTGTATAATAATAATAATAATATATAAATCCTGTATAATAATAATATATAAATCCTGTATAATAATAATATATAAATCCTGTATAATAATAATAATAATAATATATAAATCCTGTATAATTAATAATAATATATTAAAATTAACTTTAATGTATTTTTTTACTGAATTGTTGTGCTTAAATAACATGTTGCGCAGATATCATGTGACAAAAAAAATGGAACTACCAACATTTTATTCTCCAGGGTCTCTGCTTTAAAAAAAATATATATATACAGTATATCATGTTTGAGGGTGTTAATTAATCTTCAGGCCTAAAATTAATTAAAAAAAAATGTGTGCAAAAATGGCTCTGACAACAGGAAAAAGGTGAACTAACTCTAAATATCTCGGCCACCCCTCTGGACTCTGATGCATAGGGGCCATGATGCCCCATGCTGCCAGTGTAGTGGACCGTACGCTGCAATACACAGGTATTGGTATCCATCATGAAGCTTGCAATGGCAAGTGCTCATTGGCCATGTGAACGTAGTGACCAATAAGAAGCACTTCTGAGGTTTCTTCTTCTGGTAAGGTGTCCCAAAAGAAAGATGTGCTTTTCATTGGTCAGTGTTGTCACATGGTTGCACTGACCAATGAGCACTTGCCATCTTGAGCATTATACTCACTCTATGTGTCTTGTCATGTAAGGTTTACCATGTAGCATGGGGCTTCAAAACCTCTATATGCAGCAGGGTCCAAGGGGGTGGCCAGGCTATTTGAAGTTAGGTTCATATTTCCTGTAAAAGGTGAACTTATGCTTTAATAAAATGCCTTTATTTTGCAGCTTTATTCTGTGTTCAGGATTCGAGTTGTATCCCGTGGCAATGGAAGTACACACCTCTGCTGGATGATAGATAGACATTGCTGAAAACCATTGGAGGAAGTTTAGAATGGTATTTAGTAAAATCTGTAACACGCCTTATTATACAAGTCAGTGATTTTATTTTGTACGGACAAGGGGATCTATTAACAGAGCCTCTGCACGATGTGCGGGAAAAGGTCAGCCTGACTTATCCTGCGTAATGCACCACGACTCAGATGTGAAGCTTATTCTGGGATGACAAACTCACACATGGGCCCCATGCATCACGCGTTAATGTGGTGCAATAGCTTTCCCAGCCTATAATGAAAACAAATGGCCGCCATCGACCTGCAGCCTCTCCGCAGAAATGAGGGATAATACAATAACACAGCGACGGGAAGATTTTTCCTGCTAATTCCGCACAGTGGTGACAAACGGAAGATTTGTTGTGCGTGGAGAGTGCTGAGCTGATCCGCAGACACTCAAAAATCCTGAATGAAATTGTCAATTTTAGCCAGATAGACTGTCATATCCAGGGCCACCATTCGAAATCATGGGGCCCCATACACCCTAAATGACAGGGTCCTCCCCTAGCACACACTGTATGTAGTATCATGATGATGAAACAAAACCTGCCATTACTTGGCCCCCACATACACTTTAATGTATAAATTATTGCAGCAGTGCTGGGCCACTGTGTTAAGAGGTAATGGGCACAAAGGATTCTCAAGGAGGCAGATTGAGGGGCTCCAGATTGGCTGTTATGAACAGAGAAAATTGGGTTTTCAGTTTTCTCCAGGTTTTGTAATATCCAAATTGGGGTTTGGAGTCCAGAGGCTTCAAAGAGTCTTGAAGCATCTAACCCTGTGTCCAGATCTTACTGGAGATCAGCAGGCTGGTATATACAGTCCTTATAATCAAGGGGCTATCTGCAGTTCAGGGTGCCTCCCAGAAGACAGGAGGACCCCTGACCAGACCTGCGAGAGTGCAAGAAAGGTGCAGAGGTTGCACATGAGCACAGTGGTCTGAAGGACCAGCCAGATGTCTAAACTTGAGGCATGTGCAGATTTGCTGCAAAAAGAGGACAGGAGGCTTCAGGTCGTTTTTCTTTTGTGTTCTGAAGTGATGGTGGAATGCAGGGGCAACTGTTTGCTTTTGTGAACTTTTACTTTGGTCTGATATAAAAGTGAGCTAATAAGCCCTGTAACAGGATTTCCTGGCTGGACTGAACTCATTGGTAAGCATTACACTTGAGGAAACTCACTAGAATACCACAGTATGTGGCAGAATTGCTGGTACATGTAGTTCCCCATCATACAGTGTAAAGGGGAGGATCAGGCTGCAGCCATGCTCAGAATTGCAGACACTGCAAGTGGTATCAGGCAGAGGCCAAGCTGGTCCCTGTAGTCCTCACAGTAAATGGTGTTGGTTCCGGGATCATTCTTGGCCATCTCCTGACCTCCTCCTAACATCTTTGGCATTAGGAAGCCTAGACACAGTGTCAGGGACACTGCCAGGGGACTGTGCCTGGAACTTGAAAGCACCTTCACTGACTTTGCCTAGGCAGACATGATGTCACCAGTCTACTGCAGGCAAGAGGAAGCATTTGCTTAGTCTCCCCTCTTTAAACGATCAGACTATACATTGTAATTTTGAATCAAGTCACAAGGTGAGAGGCCATATGATGGCTACACATACTGTATTACTGCACAGAGGTTGTATATTCGGACTGTAATGTGTGGACAATTTAAAGTGGACCTGAACTAAAAGTAAAGACTTGCTATGTTACAGGAACATTTATAATTGTTCATTATACTTAAGCAGTACACTGCAAAACAGGGGCGGACTGACCATTTGGAAACTCGGGCACTGCCCGAGGTCAGTAGGGGGCCCCATGAGATGCCCCTGGTACCTTTTCCATAGGCTTTTTTGAGTTTGGGCAAGGACACAGGGGCACCATGATCCCCTATTGCCCGTGGGCCCCATGAGTTGTTAGTCCGCCCCTGCTGCAAAATGTACCTTTTGTGTGGAACAGCTAATATCAGTGCACCTACTGGTATAGGAGTGTGCCTAGGCACTCCTGTTCTGTAGTCTCATAGCTGTACATCAGTGTGAGATCCAAGGCACTGCTGCATCTGACTACAGTTTGGAGTGAGATTTGGTGATCATTAGATTGCTGCTCACTGTTCTCCTTGCTGGAAGCTCTGACGTGAGGAAGCAAAACTCTCTAACATCCTCTAGCAACATGGCCGCCTTCACCCAGACATACAGTGCAGAACAAGGCATGGTAAGTCAGGAATGGGGAAAAGAGCTGCTACAGGGAGACCACAGGCCATACCAGAGACCAATGGCGCAGGAGGCCACAGGGGCAGGTTACCCTGGGTGCAAAACTCTCAGGGGTGCAAAATTAGTAAGGATTCAGGGTGGGAGCCAGGAGGTCAGTCTGTGTGCACTCCAGTTCTGGTTCTGTCAGTGGAATCCCCTTCAGCTGTGTTAGTGAGTCCGGCTGGGCAGTTCTAGCTCAGAGTGGGCTGAGTTGAGGAGAGTGTGTGGCAGTGTGCTGCTTGGTGCAGTTGAGAATGTCTCTGGTCTATCTTTCTCTTCTGTACCTCGCTCCTCTGTGGGAAGTGATAACAGATCACCGGTGTGTGGAGTGGAATATGGTACTACCAGGATCTGAGGAGTGATAACGGATCACCTGTATGTGGTGGAGAATATTCTACTACTAAGATCTGAGGAAGTGATAACAGATCAGGTGTGTGTGGTGGGGAATATTCTACTACTAAGAGCTGAGGAAGTGATAACAGATCACTTGTGTGTGGTGGGGAATATTCTACTACTTGGAGCTGAGGAGTGATAACGGATCACCTTGTATGTGGTAGAGAATATTCTACTACCAGGATCTGAGAAAGTGATAACAGATAACCTGTGTGTGGTGGGGAATATTCTACTACTAGGAGCTGAGGAAGTGATAATGGATCACTTGTGTGTGATGGGGAATATTCTACTACTAGGAGCTGAGGAAGTGATAATGGATCACTTGTGTGTGATGGGGAATATTCTACTACTAGGAGCTGAGGAAGTGATAACAGATCACTTGTGTGTGGTGCGAAATATTCTACTAATATGAGCTGAGGAAGTGATAACGGATCCCAAATACGCGGAATATGTTACTACTAGGTGCTGAGGAAGATATAATGGGTCACCTGTGAATGGCAGGTAATATTCTACTACTAGGAGCTGAAGAAGAGATAATAGATCACCTGGGTGAGGCGAGGAATATTCTACTACTAGGAGTTGAGGAAGCGATAACAGATCCCCAGTACGTGGAATATGTTACTACTAGTTGCTGAAGAAGATATAATAGGTCACCTGTGAATGGCAGGTAATATTCTACTACTAGAAGGTGAAGAAGTAATAACAGATAACTTATGTGTGGTGGGGAATATTCTACTACTAGGAGCTGAGGAAGTGATAACGGATCACTTGTGTGTGGTGGGGAATAATCTACTACTAGGAGCTGAGGAAGTGATAACGGATCACTTGTGTGTGGTGGGGAATAATCTACTACTAGGAGCTGAGGAAGTGATAACGGATCACTTGTGTGTGGGTGGGGAATAATCTACTACTAGGAGCTGAGGAAGTGATAACGGATCACTTACTTGTGGTGGGAATATTCTACTACTAGGAGCTGAGGAAGTGATAACAGATCACCTGTGTATGGTGTGAAATATTCTACTAATATGAGCTGAGGAAGTGATAACGGATCCCCAGTACGCGGAATATGTTACTACTAGGTGCTGAGGAAGATATAATGGGTCACCTGTGAATGGCAGGTAATATTCTACTACTAGGAGCTGAAGAAGAGATAACAGATCACCTGGGTGTGGCGAGGAATATTCTACTACTAGGAGTTGAGGAAGCGATAACAGATCCCCAGTACGTGGAATATGTTACTACTAGTTGCTGAAGAAGATATAATGGGTTACCTGTGCATAGCTGGTAATATTCTACTACTAGGAGTGATAACTGATCACCTATGTGTGGCGGGGAATATTCTACTACCAGGAGTTGAGGAAGTGATAAGTTACCTGTGCGTGGCGGTAGTCCTGAATCTTAGCCATCTCCTCTGCCATGTTCTTCAGGGCCGCCCGCAGCTCCGGGTTCTCTGTGTTGGCGAAATCCATCAGCTGCTTGACCAGCTCGTCTGCCTTGTCACGCAGCTTGGCTGTCTTCCGGGTGTAGGACGCCATGACGGAGCAGAACTGCCCGAAGTACTTCTCCGCATTGGAGACGGTGTTCTCCATGAGCTTGACCTGGGCATCTCTGCAGGGAGAGGACAGGAATAGGGGTCACGCTTACAGAAAGTTTCAGTTGGGGCTCATTCACAGCGTACAGTACACATTACTGGGCACACAACGCATGTGAACTCGCTGTCATGTAATACGCTGCAATATGTCAATCATTATAAACTTTACCATAATTCAGTGCGCTGCGTTGGTGCACGTTGTAATGCATTTTTGCGCACTGCGTTTCCGGGTCATTTTCAGTGCTGTGAGTTTTGGATTTATATAAACTTTAAAAATCAAACAACTTGACTGTTCGGACTGGAATATTGCAGAATGTGCTGCAAGGCGTAGCCTTCTACAGAAAATTATGCGATGTGCTGCAGAATGTTTTGTGATAAAGTTTAGTTTTCAGAACTTTTATCCCAATGGGAAAGTTTTGTGTGAAATATTCTGTAGAATCTTCAATATCCCAACTGCAAGAGTACTCGACCAATCAGAAAGCTCAGAATCATTCCAAAGGCCTACACACACATTATAGATGAGAAGTTCTGCAGATATGTCTGTTAGTAGTAATTACAGACAATTTTAGATGTGATGATCTGCAGATATGTCTGTTAGTAGTAATTACAGACAATTTTAGATGCGATGATCTGCAGATATGTCTGTTAGTAGTAATTACAGACAATTTTAGATGCGATGATCTGCAGATATGTCTGTTAGTAGTAATTACAGACAATTTTAGATGCATGATCTGCAGATATGTCTGTTAGTAGTAATTACAGACAATTTTAGATGCGATGATCTGCAGATATGTCTGTTAGTAGTAATTACAGACAATTTTGTGTGCAGAATACACAGTTCCAATAGTCTGTAAATGTTTTTCAGCAATACTCTGCATACCCAGTCCTGTGCAATACTCTGCAGAGATCTCTGATCAGTGATACCAGCCGCCATAGCTAGTCCTGTGCTATACTCTGCAGCTCTGATCAGTGACACCGCCCTCTACAGAAAGCAATCTGTGCAATACTGTGCAGAGTTGATTATCTTGTAATACTCTGCAGAGTTCTAATGCAGCCCCCTCCAATCAGTCCTGTGCAATACTCTGTATTCAGTGTTCTCTGATCAGTGATACTAACCCTCCATGAGCGTTCTCTAATCAGTCATACCAGCCCTTAAAGAAATTTTTCTGAAATACTCTGCAGAGTGCCCAGAGTCCAGCCCCCCTAGGAATAGTCCTCTGTAATGGTCTGTAGGGTTCCCGAACATTACTATTAAAGAAAGTTTTCTGAGTAATACTCTGCAGAGTGCCCAGAGTCCAGCCCCCCTAGGAATAGACTTCTGTAATGGTCTGTAGGGTTCTGCAATCAATGATATTAAAGAAAGTTTTCTGAGTAATACTCTGCAGAGTGCCCAGAGTCCATCCCCCCTAGGAATAGACTTCTGTAATGGTCTGTAGGGTTCTGCAATCAATGATATTAAAGAAAGTTATCTGTGTAATACTCTGTAGGGTTCCCCAATACCAGCCCCAGGATTAGTCCTGTGCAATACTCTGCAGAGTTCTCTGATTGCTCATAGTAGCTCATATAGGCAGATTTCTGTGCAACACCCTGCAGAGTTCTCTAATCAATCACACCAGCCAGCCTTACAAGCCTGCTAGCAGATTTCCCTGATCAGTGACCAGCCCCCCTCCCACCCCATAGCCAGTCTTGTGCAATGCTCTGCATTGTTCTCTAATCACTGACAGCAGCCCATATGGGAAGTTTTCTGTTCAATACTCTGCAGAGTTTACTGATATCAGCCCCCCATAGCCAGTCTTGTGCAATACTCTGCAGAGTTTACTGATGACTGATAGCAGTCAATATTGGAAGTTTTCTGTGCAATACTCTGCAGAGTTTACTGATATCAGCCCCCCATAGCAGTGCAATACTCTGCAGAGTTTACTGATGACTGATAGCAGTCAATATTTTTCTGTGCAATACTCTGCAGAGTTCTCTGATCCCTGATACCAGCCCTCTAAAGAAAGTTATATGTGTAGTACTCTGTAGAGTTCCCTGATACCAGCCTCCTAAGATCAGTCTGGTGTAATACTCTGCAGGACTCTAATCAGTCATACCAACCCTTAAATAAAAGTTATCCGTGTAATGCTCTGCAGAACTCCTTGATATCAGCCTCCCCCAGGGCCAGTCCTCTGTAATGCTCTGCAGATTTCCTTTATTATCAGTTTCCCCCAGGACCACCCCTGTGCAATGCTCTGCATAGTATTCTGATCACTCATGGCAACCCATATAGGAAGTTTTCAGTGTAATACTCTGCAGATTTCCCTGAGTGGTGATCAGCCCCCATAGCCAGTCCTCTGTATAGAACTTTAAACATTGATAGCAAATGGGGGGATCTCTGTGCAATACTCTGCAGAGTTCCCTGATCCCTGATAGCAACTCCTATAGAACGTTTCCTGTGCAATGCTCTGCGGTGTTCCCTGATACCAGCCCCCCCATCAGTCCTGTGTGATGCTCTGCGGAGTTCTCTGATCACTCATTTCAGCCCATATGGGAATTTTTCAGTGAAATACTCTGCAGAGTTCTCTGATCACTGATAGCAGCCCCTACAGAAAGTTATGAGTGATGCTCTGCAGAGTTCTCTGATCAGTGATGCCTGTCCTGTGCAATGCTCTGCAGAGTTCCCTGGTAGGGGCCCTGTGCTCTGCTCACCTGGACAGGACAATGTTCATGCTGGGCTCAGTGTTGGACACTCTCCTCTGTGTCTTCAGGCGTCTGGCATTGCTGTCACCATGGCGACCAGAGCCAGGAGAGTCAGGGCGGCTCCTGCTGTCTCCATGGTGATGGAGGAGGCTCTTCCTGTATAAACAGCATTCCTTATGATCACCTTCCTGTCATTTGTCAGGGGCCTCAGGCTGCCCATCCCCCCCAATCATTACACCTGTTCTGTCTGGCAGCCATGTTGTCTTCCTCAGGCTCAGAGATGGCTCTGTGTCTTGTCGCTCAGTGGTGGGACTACAAGATTCAGCATACCCACCTCAGTTCATATCAACCATCCCATGTCTGACATAAGCAGATCTGCACTAGGCGCCACTCACACCTGGCGCTTCTGGATTTTGTGGAAAAAAGGCCACAGAAAATGCACTTTTTTTGCCTCACGTTTCAGAAACGCTTTTCAACCGCGTGTCGTGTTTGCAAGTGCCATTCATAGTTAACGTCAAGCAAAAATGTCAAAGAAACTGTGAAGTATTAGGCCTCGCGCACGGGACGTTTACGCTCCTCCTCTTGGCAGCAGCGTTTTAGCAGAAAAAATGAGGCCTGCAGCTTCTAAAAGTGTCTAATACTTTCACAAGCGTTTAGACGCCTTTGCAGGCGTTACGCGTTTGGCCGTTAATTCATTTCATTGGCTAGAATTAGGGATGCCGAAAATAGTGTTATCTGCGTTTTACCCGCAAGTTTACCCCGCGATTGTACTGCAATTTTGCTGCGAGTTTACCATGTTTAGGGTGCGCTTTTCATGCGACTCAAAACACCACATCAAAAACGCAACACCAATGCAGCTTGCGTTTTGTCCTTTCTTGCAGTGTGTTTTATGTTTTAAAAAAATAATTTTTTTAGGTTACTTGTTGCTGGGCAGATTAAAAAACACATCAAAAATGCATCAAAACTGCCTACATACACTTTGTCCAGTGTCTCTATTGAACCAAAAATGTAAGTTTTGCCATTTAAAAAAGTCCAGTGCAAAAAGTAAAAACCCAGTGATCACATACCACCAGAAGAAAGCTCTATTTGTGGGGAAAAAAAGGACCTACATTTCATTTCGGTGCAGTGTTGCATAACCGCGCAATTGTCAATTAAAGTAAAGCAGCGCCGTATCGCAAAATATGGCCTGGTGAGGAAGGGAAGTAAATCTTCTGGAGGGGAAGTGGCAGCTTTAGCTCTGTGATTTTATAATCTGATATCTTTTTATGAGGAGGTGAGCAAAACCTTGGACAGAGGGGTGGTGGTGGACATGGTATACTTGGACAGAAGGGTGACGGTGGACATGTATAATTGGACAGAGGGGGTGGCGGTGGACATAGTATACTTGGACAGAGGAGTGGCTGTGGACATGGTATACTTGGACAGAGGGGTGGCTGTAGACGTGGTATACTTGGACAGAGGGGTGGTGGTGGACATGGTATACTTGGACAGAGGGGTGGTGGTGGACGTGGTATAATTGGACAGAAGGGTGACGGTGGACGTAGTATACTTGGACAGAGGGGTGGCTGTGGACGTGGTATACTTGGACAGAGGGGTGGCTGTGGACGTGGTATACTTGGACAGAGGGGTGGCGGTGGACGTGGTATACTTGACAAAGGGGTGGCGTGGACGTGGTATACTTGGACAAAGGGGTGGAGTGGAGGTGGTATACTTGGACATAGGGCTGGCTGGTGGACATGGTATACTTGGACAGAGGGTGGCGGGTGGACGTGGTATACTTGAACAGAGGGGTGGCTGTGGACGTGGTATACTTGGACAGAGGGGTGGAGGTGGACGTGGTATACTTGGACAGAGGGGTGGAGGTGGACGTGGTATAATTGGACAGAAGGGTGATGGTGGACTCGTGGAGTATACTTGGACAGAGGAGTGGCTGTGGACATGGTATACTTGGACAGAGGGGTGGCTGTAGACGTGGTTTACTTGGACAGAGGGGTGGCGGTGGACGTGGTTTACTTGGATTTTGCCAAAGCGTTTGACACAGTTCCCCACACAAGGCTAATGTGTAAGATAAGCCTACGGGCTTGGAAAAAAAACATTTGTAAAATGGATAGAAAACTGGCTAAAAGATAGTATTCAGAGAGTAGTGGTTAATGATCCATGCTCTGATTGGTTTTGGGGTGTCAGTGGTGTACCCCAAGGTTCAGTGTTGGGACCCTTACTTTTTAATATATTTATAAACAATATCGGGTCTGAGATTATAAATCCCCTTTCAGTCTTTGCAGATGACACCGAGCTGTGCAGTGGAATAACGTCCTTACAGGATGTCTCCAATTTACAAGCCGACCTTAGTGCTCTGTGTAATTGGGCAACTATGTGGCAAATGAGGTTTAATGTTGATAAATGTAAGGTTCTGCTCTTGGGGGCTAAGAATATGCATCATACATACTGGGGGGGGGGGGTACAACTGGGGGAATCAATGGTGGAGAAGGATCTGGGAGCTCTGATAGATTACAAGCTTAATAATGGCATGCAATGCCAAGCTGCAGTTTTCTCATTAGTAACACCTCATCTGGAATATGCAGTTCGGTTTTGGGCACCAATTCACAAAAAGAACATTGGGGAACTGGAGAAAAACAGAGAAGGGCAACCAAACTGATAAGAAGCATGGAGGAGCTCAGCTATGAGGAAAGATTAGAGGAACTGAATTTATTCTTTTAAGGGGGGATATGATCTCCATGTATAATACATAAGAGTATCTCCATGATTAAGGGGGGATATGATCTCCATGTATAATACATAAGGTCTCCATGTATAATACATAAGGGGGGATATGATCTCCATAAGGGGGGACATGATCTCCATGTATAATACTCCATGTATAATACATAAGGGGGATATGATCTCCATGTATAATACGTAAGGGGGGATATGATCTCCATGGGGGGATATATCTACATGTATAATACTATAAGGGGGGGATATGATCTCCATGTATATACATAAGGGGGGGATATGTATCTCCATGTATAATACATAAGGGGGGGATATGATCTCCATGTATAATACATAAGGGGGGGGGGATATGATCTCCATGTATAATACAATACTCCATAAGGGGGGATATGATCACCATGTATAATACATAAGGGGGATATAATCACCATGAATAATACATAAGGGGGGATATGATCTCCATGTATAATACATAAGGGGGGATATGATCTCCACCATGTATAATACATAAGGGGGGATATGATCTCCATGGGGGGATATGATCTCCATGTTTAATACATAAGGGGGGATATGATCTCCATGTATAATACATAAGGGGGGTATATGATCTCCATGTATAATACATAAGGGGGGATATGATCACCATGTATAATACATAAGGGGGGATATGATCACCATGTATAATACATCAGTGGGATTGATCTCCATGTATATAGTATGATCACTCGGGTGTAGAGTTATTCACCCTGAGGTCATCAAGAGGACAAGGGGGCACTCTTTACGTCTGGAGGAAAAGAAATGTAATCTCCAAACATGGAAAGGCTTCTTCACAGTAAGAGCTGTGAAAATGTGGAATAGACACCCTCAAGAGTTGGTTCTGGCCAGCTCAGTGGATTGTTTTAAAAAAGTCCTGGATTCTTTCCTAGATACACAGAATATAACTGGATAATAACATTTGTAGGCAAAGTTGATCCAGGGAATATCCGATTGCCTCTCAGGGGTTCAAAGGAATTTCTTTTCCATGCAGAAGCAAATTGGATCATGCTTTTCTGGGTTTTTGCCTTCCTCTGGATCAACTGTGGGTATAAGATTATAACTTTTTTTTTTGGTAATGGTTGAACTGGATGGACTTTTGTCTTTTTTCAGCCAGACTAACTATGTAACTATTTTCACACCTGGCCAATACTGGAATTGCTGTCGTGACACAGCCATAAATCTTATCATGGCCAGTGGGAAAATGCATCTTCATGAGGTAACTCAGAAGTGCATATGGTCCTTGAAAGTTTGTGGGACATCTTTTTTTTTGGGGGGGGGGGGGGGGAGTTTTTTCAGTTATCTAAGCTTACTTACTTTTCTGTGTTCTGGTATTTGTGTGTTTGATATGAGCTTTTGTAACCCTTGGGAACTGTTGACCCATTCACATCTCAGCGTTTTGTAGTTCAATTGATGCCTGAAGTGTGAACACGTTCAAGTTGAACAATCCCATTATCCTCAGTGGGCCGTTCACACCTGAGCACTGGGTCGCTTGTTATGTGAAGCTTGAAGAAGCTTCATTTGGGGCACAATCAGCCAGTTCTGGCCTCATTGATTTTAACCACTTTGATACCAGAGCCATTTTTTTTGTTTTCCTGCACACGTTAATGTACATTTTAGGCCTGAAGACTGCTTAAACTCCCCCCAACTTTATATATTTTCTAAAAGCAAACCCTGGAGAACAAAATGATGAAAATGAACATACAAAAAAAAATATAAAATTCAATTTTAGTAGAAAATACACTAAAGTTAATTTCAGTGCAGACAAACACAACATATTACTCAATTTTGTGGCAAACTATGGATGAGGTTGCAATGAGCAAATAGATACCCAACATGTCAAGCCTTAAAATTGCGTGCACCCATGGAATGCAACATACTTTGGTACCCAAAATTGTCCATAGGTGACCTCTAAAAGCCTTTACAGGTCATCCTTTTAGAATTATGATGGTATGAGGATTGGCGCTCTCACTGCGACGTTCACAGTGATATGTAACATGCGTAGTGCAATTGTCGTTTTTGTATGCAGGTACACCTGCCGCAGGCACTTATGTTTGTATGTGTGTGTAATTGGGGGTAGGGGACTTAAACTTTTTTTGTTTTGTTTTGTTTTATACATTACTTTTTTTACATTTAAGGCCTCTTTCACACGGGCGTTCCGTATGTTTGTTTTTCATCTATGAGTTTACGGATGAAAAATGGACACCCATGGACTAGCAGATGTAAACAGATGATCATTTGTTAATGTCCGTATCCGTTAACATCCGTTTTTTGAATGGAGGAAACCCTAATTTTCTTCCAAAAAAAAAAAACAGAACGGACGAATAACAGATGTAAACGGACAAAAAGCAGATGAAAAATGGACAAAAAAACTGATGAAAAACGGATGTAAACTGATGAAAAAACTAATGTAAACTGATAAAAAAACTTATGAAAAACGGATGTAAACTGATGAAAAAACGGATGTAAACTGATGAAAAAACGGATGTAAACTGATGAAAAAACTGATGTAAACTGATGAATAACTTATGAAAAATGGATGTAAACTGATGAATAACTTATGAAAAATGGATGTAAACTGATGAAAAAAACTGATGAAAACTGATCCATTTTTTCTTTGAAAAAACATGACTGAATGGATGAAAAAAACGGAACGCCCGTGTGAAAGGACCCTAACTTTATTTCTATTCCCCCCTCCATGAGATAGCACACTGTAGTGACAGAACCTCTTCACTGAGATGTATGAGACTCCTTAATGTCTCTCTGCTCTCTACTGAAGCTAATAAAGCACAGCTCAGGCTACATTAGCTTCTTTCCTGGACACAGCAGCTGGACAAAGTGACAGCCAAACCCTGAAGTGACGTAATACACATTGCTTCCCTGCTTAGTCACTATTCTACCTAGCAGCACCCACCATGTTTGTCTCAGGTAGGGCAGCGGAACCCAGGACACATGGAGGGTGCAGTTGCATGGGGGAACAGTACCTTTGGCAAGCTGTGGAAGTGATAGGACAGTGTTTAAAATCCTGTTCTACTAGCCATCATTTATAACCTGCGCCAGGAGCCAAATGGTTAATGGGAGTACCTGAAAACTGTTTACTTATTTTTGAGGTTCTCCCATTTAAAAGTCTTTGGGGCCAAAAAAATACACAATTCTGCTGTTCTACTATGTCACACGTAAAATGTGCAATGAAAACTCTCATTCTCTCTTATCCCTGGTCCCCACAGGAAATTTGCAAGATAACTCTGATGGGGGTACAGACAGTAAAAACGAAGAGCGGAGAAGGAAAAGAACCTTTGTCAAGTTTTTATGGTCATCCATATCCTCGATGGGGTGGTCTCACTTCCTCTGCGGTCACCAGGACAGGAAGTGAAGTGAAATCTCCCCAGTGGGGACACGGAGCGCAATAAACCTCTGTCAGAGATTTTACAGCTCTCACATTCTTAGGTTCCACTTAGAAGTGAAGGTGGGGGCGGTAAAAACAAGGTTGAGCCACATTTTTTTTACACCCGCCAACTGCCCCCCCTTAAAGTGGAGTTCCACTCACCTGTCAAAAAATAAAAGTCAGCAGCTACAAAAACTGTAGCTACTGACTTTTAAAAAACAGCCACTCACCTGTCCCTTGGTCCCGCGGTGTGTCCCCCGAAGCTGTTTCACCGGCCATCCTGTATTCCAGGAGGCCGGCATCTTCAGTGTGGGCACCCGGCTGTGACAGCTTGCGGA